ATAAATAAATAATAATAAAATTTTGTATGTCACTCCCCATGGCTCCAGGTTTGTCTTCTCCCTGTCTCTGGGACGGGGCTCCCCTCGCACTGACCCGCAACAACCCCCTCAATGATCCTTCCCATTACACCTCCATTGCGATTCCCCCCAACTGTCTTGCCGAGAACCCCCTGGCGGAGGCTGCACGCAGCAAAGATCCAGATGAGCAGCCCTTTCAATCGCCACCCTGCACCACCCCACCTCGCCCTCGGGGCAAGGAGATGTCGCTTTCTGAAACTGCAGAATAACTCGAGTTACGAGTTTAGACCAGGCCGACCGTGCCGTTCTTGCTACTCCACTCGCACACAGCTGTGAGATGCAAACTCTCAGAACGCGACGTCTGAAGCTCTGTCCTCGCGAGTTTGGGGGTCATCTGCTGTCCTGTCCGCTCCCTCCGCTCCCGGGCGGGCCTACCTGTGCCTTAGCGCAGCCGCAATTGCATCCGCCGCGTCTGCGCGGAGACGCAGAGACCGCCAACGGCGGCCGCAAGTTTCCTGGCTGCTTGATGACTTCCCCGCCGCGGCTCACCGGTTTTTGCTGCAGCGCCCCCCGACGCCCTGCGGAGGCCAGGGCCCGGTAAGCAGCAGCTGGAACTGGTGCGCTCTGTGGTGCGGTGTGGGTGTGTCCCGGAGAGGGCGTGCGGGCGCCTGGGTCGATCGATCGGTCGGTCTGAGGCTTCCTGCAGGTGTATGGACTTTCTGTTAGTCTGTGTGGGTCTGTATGTCCCTGGGTGCTCTGGGGGTGGGGTGGTAGGAGAACGATTTGTCTTTTAATGTTCCCGTGACGGAGTGACCAGTGTGAGTGAGGATCTGCTTGTATGTTCCTGTGCCTCTGTCACTGTTTGGGGGAAGGATGGGTGATGGCCCAGGATCCTCCCCACTGCACTGGAGATACCTGGAATAGGGCACCTCTCTATCCGGTCAGCTACCTCCCAGCTCTAGCCCTCCCACATTCTTGCCAACACAAAGGCCACCTGTGAGACACCTGTGAGACTGAGATTTTTCTTCTCCCTCTGCCCCCAAACCTCCGAGGCTCAGCTTCCATCCCAGCCTTCTCCCACGTGAAAGGTTCTTGCAGCTCTGAATATCCAGTGGTGGCTAGGGGGCCTGCAAGCAGGACCTTGGGACAGACTAAAACGTGAACTGCCCCCCTTGGCTGGAAGGCTAGTGCCTCTTACACACCTTCATCCCACCAGGATCTCAGAGGCCTTTCTTTCCCCAAGCTGATTTGCCCACCTTCACCCACACTATGAGTGGCAATACAGGGAAATAAGATGCAGGACCCCCGACAAATCAGCAAGCCCCAATCAAGTTCACCCCCTTCCGTTTCCCACTCATACCCCTCTCCCATCCCCACCTGTGCCTCCTCCCTGTTTCTCATCTCAGGGAGTGGCAGTACCATCACCCACTGTCCACCCTTCCCTCTGCTGCCCCTCCTGACCACGGTCTCCTAGAAAAGTGATCTTCAAACCTTTTTGATCATACACCCTATCAATGAAAAGAATTCAGAAAGTGTACTCCCAGTATATGCATATTTACTTATTTATAAATTCCGCAAATGTACTACTGGACTAACATATTATGAACCATATAAAACACAAAATAGAAAAAGGATCAGATCTGAATATACAGAAATGAAAGTTTTAATGGTCTCACACTCAAATGGATAATCTTGCACCCCCTAGAAGATGTATACCCTACTTCGGAGATTTTGCTCAGAGCCATAAAGACCTAGCATGGTAGAGCTCCTGACTATTGCCTGATGCCCAGAAGATGAGTTCCTGCATGGAGGGTGTAAGGTAGTCCAGTGAACCCTCCTGTCATCATATGTAGCGGGCTGCCTAGTCCCCAGTGCCTTGCTTTGCCTCCAGGTCCCCCCTGGGCTGGGAGCCCCGTCCTGCCCAGTACATCAAATTGGGAGCCAAGGCCTCTTACTTGGATGCCACTAGGACCTCTTTTGTTCTATTTCTGGTCTCCCTCATATCAAATTGGACCACCAGAATCACTCTGCTTACAGAGACCTGCCTCTGCCTAATAGCCTTCATGCTGTGTCCCTCCTAGGGCACTGATTCTGCTTGGAATCAGCCTAAGGACTCGAAAGCGTACTCTAAAGTCCTTGTTGTTGTTATTAGTTGCCGTCCAGTCGATTCCGACCCCTGGCCACCACATGTGTGCAGAGTAGAACAGTTCCACAGGGTTTTCAAGGCTGTGACTTTTTGGAAGCAGATCGCCAGGTGCCTCTGGGTGGGTTTGAACTGCCAACCTTTTGGTTAGTAGTCCAGCGCCACCACTTGCACAACCAGGGTCTCCTAAAGTCCATGGTCAGTTGCCTATGCTCCCCCCCACACACCTCAACACAAATAGGGTCTGTTGTCCAGATTCGAGTTTTCCTAGATCTCACCTATTCTGACTTTGCTAGTCCTGTCCCCACCTTCACAGAGTTCCTAGCTGAGGTACACTAAGTATGACAGTCAGAAGTGGATGAAGAAAAGTATCCCGGGTTGAGGGAACAGCAAAGACATGGAGGCATGGAAACATACCAGATAAAATTTGGCTGGAGTATCAGGTGCCTGGGGAGAGGTAAAAGGAGTGGGGGTGGAGGGGGCAGGAGAAGAAGCTGCAAGTAGTTGGTAGGCAGGACACGGTACTGAGAATGTCAAAATGGTACCCATCACTCACACAGAT